AAACGTGAGCTTGTGGGACAGGTATTTTATTTTTAAAAGGATGGGTATTGAATTTAATTTCCCGGAGACTGTTATAATCAAAAATGTTTTTAGTCCAATTGTTTGCTCTTTGACTGTTAACTAACATGATGATTCAATCAGGCTTTATTCAATTCAAACTAAATCCTTTGGAACCAGCCCATGTAGTTTCAACCTAGTTTCATTTCCTGGAGTGGAGGGTGCAGGATTCCCCCCCTCCCCCGACACCCCGTTTCCCATAAAGAGTATAAACTTCAATACAGGCAAATTTCAACAAGATGAGAGGACAAGTCTTTTTGGAAGTCCCTCTCTTCCCTTCATCAGATTTTGTAAGGAGTTTTTAAAGTCCCTTTTGCAGTTTTCTAGGTGAGCATTCACTAGTCAGTCTTTTTTCCTTTCAAAGCAACTTTCCCTCTTTTTCTGGCCTAAAAATATGCAAATATTCATGAGTTAATTTCTTTCTTTTCTTTTCATGTATCTATAACTACATATTTCCTAGAGAATTGTATTTTAATGAGATTCTCTGAGTTTCCCAGCCAACCCCATTGCAAGATGTTTTAGGGCAATACATTTTAATTTTTTCTAATTCTACACTGAAGAAATCTTAACAGGGCATTTAAGTCAGGTGATACAAATGAGACTGGTAAAAGTACTTTAAAGAACTATGGTGCTGGAAGGGGTTTCCTTCCTATGTCAAAACCATTTCAGAAACTGCATGAATGACCTTTATTTTCTTCTCTGTAGCACACACGACTATAATTTCCCATGACTATTTATGGTCTGTACAGACTTTTTCTTCTTTTTTTTTTTTGTACAGGCTTTTTCTAACTTCCTTTTTTTTTTTTTAATGTCAACGGAATACATGTTTCTTTAATGGAAAATGTTCTATTTTGGGGAAGCTGCTTTTCCTTAGATAAGTAGTGGAGTTGGGCCGTGTGTGTGTAAGTGTGTGGAGGTCGCAAGATTGGAGAGTATTAACTTAGTGGACTGAGGACTTGGGATGACAGTTTTGGTGATGACGCCCAAATACAAAGCTTTCTTTTTATCCAAGATTAAAAATAACTGTACCTGGTATTCCAGAGTCTTCCTTTTTAAGGAAGATTTTATTCTTTTTTACTAACATATGGTAAAATAGTCCTGAATTGAATGCTGAACATTTCAAACCTGGGTGGTTTTGAAACGAGAAAGGCAGTTCATTAACAGGGTAGTTCTAGGTAAGGGGTGGGGGACAAGTCAGCTTTGACCTTGGCAACTATGGCAGGTGAGTCCTGTGGGCTGGACGCTCTCCATGCTCGGGTCACTGCAGCTTCACTATGGAACACACGTGGTGGAGATCCACTGTGAAGCAGCAGGGCTGTCTGCCCGTGAGCCATGCACAGTTCCTGCTCTGTCCTTCTCTCCCTTTCCAGTGATTTGGAACCTGATCACAGCAAGGATTCTGTTTCAGTTCTCCAGCTTTGCATTTTGCATTTATCTGTGTTTCCCAGTAACTATGGAAGGAATTACAGTTTTTGACAGTTTAGTTATCTCAGGTGTAAAAACATTCTTCATAGTTTAGCTATTGTTCACTCTATCATTTGGATAACTGGTAGCATATACATCTTGTTTTAATGTAAATTTTATTGAAGTATAATATAGATACAGAAAAGGGGCCATATCGTAACTGTAGCACTTGATAAATTTTCTCAAAGTGAACACACTCATGTGACCAGCACTCAGATCAAGAACCAGAATGTTATCATATTGGAAAAATTAGAAGCTGTCTCCTAGACACTGCTTCCCTTCCCTGACTCCTAATACCATAGATAAGTTTTGCCTGGTTTTGAACTCTATAATTATGGAATCATGCAGTGTATCCTCTGCTATCTGGCTTCTTTTACTCAATATTATATTTGTGAGATTCATCCTATTGATACATGTAGTTATTCTTCATTTTCACTACTACATAGTATTACATTATTTTAATACAGAGTAAATTATCCCTTGCAGTTGTGAATATATGTCAGTAAAATATGGTTTGGGCATCATACTGAAAAGGACTTAGTCACGATGTGATTTAGTTGTATTGTGATCTAATGTCTAACTATTTTATTACTATAAGAGCTCTTTTATTTTAAAGTAGGCAATTGTTTTTCTCTTTCTTAAGACAGAATATTAATTTTATCTTATCACTATCCCTTCGACTCCCCACCAGCTATAAAATTAATCACTTTCTCTCACCTTTGTGCTTCCATAAAAATTGATTTCTCTTTGTAGTTAACACATACAGATAGCTACTGTGTTCATTATGAACAGTGGCGTCACATATCTATATGCCTGCCAAAGTCAAGACCTATCTTTTTTTTGTTTTAAACTTTTTATTTTATATTGGAGTATAACCAGTTAACAATGTTGTGATAGTTTCAGGTGCACAGCAAAGCAACTCAGCCCTACATATAGATGTATCTGTTCTCCCCCAGACTCCCCTCCCATCCAGGCTGCCACATAACATTGAGCAGAGTTCCCTGTGCTATATAGTAGGTCCTTGTTGGTTATCCTTTTTAAATATAGTAGTGTGTACATGTCAGTCCCAAACTCCCTGACTATCCCTTCCCTCCACCCTTCCTCCCGGTAACCATAAGTTCATTCTCTAAGCCTGTGAGTCCGTTTCTATTTTGTAAATATGTTCATTTGTATCATTTCTTTTTAGATTCCTCATATAAGTGATATCATACGATATTTCTCTTTCTCTGTCTGACTTACTTCACTCAGTATGACCATCTCTAGGTTCATCCATGTTCCTGCAAATGGCATTATTTCATTCTTTTTTATGGCTGGGTAATATTCCATTGCATATATATGTACCACATCTTCTTTATCCATTCCTCTGTCGATGGACATTTAGGTTGCTTCCATGCCAAGACCTACCTTTAAATTCATGTTTCTAAACCCAGTTTCTAATATGCCAGGTATCAATCAGAAAAATTCTAGGTTTGTTGAGGATTCTGGACTAGACCTGTGGCTTATCAGTGGGATTCTGTTGCATTTTTGTCATTGTAGCCTGAGATTCCTGAATGCATCTGCAAACAAACTGGAAACCCTTCCTCCAGCCACACTTTCTGAAGAGACAAACAGCGTCTTACAGGAGTTGTATTTGACGAATAACAACCTCACAGATAAATGTGTACCCTTGTTAACAGGACACCCCCATCTGAAGATTCTTCACATGGCCTATAACCGACTTCAGAGTTTTCCAGCAAGGTAAAAGAAGATTACAGAGTGACATCCTTCATTGCATTTCTGAAAATGGATTCATAGATGGAAAGGCAAAAACTAACATGTTTATTTCCCAGATAATGTAAAGCTTGTTCCTCCTGATTCTTATTCACAGTGTCTTTTATATAAGCCATTGTTAGCATTCCCCTAAAGAGAAATGTGTTCATTTTTCTAATATGAATGTATCCAAGGACCCAATTGCTAGAATGTTCTTATGATTTTGAAATAAGGCATGTCATCTAGCAGCTATATTTTTTTCTTTTGCTTCCTTTTAACCAGTCAAATTAAAAAAAAATAATTAACCTAGTATGGTGTGTGAGAATTAGAATGTAAACTAGGAACCTGAAGGTTCTCAATTAGCTAATAGCTTTTGTATTTAGGCTTATGGTATAAAAAGCAATGGTGGCCTGTGCATTCATAGAAACTGTGACATTACAAATAATTTATGGCTCTTAGAAAATTCTACTTTTAATTCTATTTTAATTTTAATTTCTAATTTTGGGGAGCAGTGGCATTGTATCTTGCTTTGAGTGAAGCTTTAACAAGTTAGGTCTTAGAACTCACGCCCACACATCAAAGAAGCAAACACTAACCCCTCTGGTATTCTGCTGCTAACTGCGATTTAGCACTGGGCCAAAGCAAAATATGGGGACAGCCTCCCTCTGCTAGCATCAAGGATACCAGTCTGTTGAAACCCTTACTAAAGGAGGGAGGCCCAAATATGCATTGACTTCAAGTATTACTCTATTTTTGTAGTATACATTTATTTCTTTACTTTTTCCCCTCATTTGATGTTACTGATTAAGCTTTTCTTTCTTTCTTTCTTTCTTTTTCTTTTAATGTACTTTTCTTTTACTGTGGAATGAGATGTTATTTTCGGAAGAAAACATAGTAGTCACATAACAATAATATCTCTGAAAGGGCTCATGGTCCTCATTTGATGGTGAATGACTAAGGCCAGCAGGAGAAATGATCATCAGCTCAAATTGTGAGGGTATCCCCCAGTGACCCATGCCAGTAGTAATCACCCTAACTACAGAGAATCTTTTTTGACCACCTTCTTTCTATGCTGAGGGATAGAAACTTCTTTGACATGTTTTCTTTCTTGGACCTGATGTCTATACTTTCAATCTTTTTTCGTGCCTGTTACTCATTGGTTTCTCCACATTTCTTCTCACAATATGATGACAACATACTCAAATAATAATCTTACAAATTCAGGCTATCACAGACGGATTACTTCACAGTCTGTGCATACAGTGTTGTTTGTAGCATATCCTAATACCATGTTGAATGTTTATGATATTAAAAGATCTGATTTCATAAGATAAAAACTTAGTTCTTGTATCTTCGGTGTATATTTATTTTCAAGTAAGCAAATAAGGTAACCTTTATTTTAGAGAGAAAACAGAAAGAAAAGCAATAAAGTGTTTCTTGCTAAATTTTTTAAAAGGTTATTGTGACAAATGAAACCACAGCAAGGAGAGGAGATACCAATAACTCTAAACTAAATGATTTAGATTGTAAGTTTGAGTTGCACTCACTGGGAATCCTGCACTTGTCAGATTCCACCTTCACAAGTGGTGGGAAAAGGGCCAGAGGAGTGATAGATGCATTATAGGTTTGTAGAGGCAGAGGGTTTTTTCCCTCCAGATTTACAGAAAATATAAGAAACCCTAATTCTGGAGTTTTTCTTTATTGGGTTACTGTAATTATTGATTAATGTAATTAAATAGTAATTGTACATTATAGGTTAAGATTGAACAATACAAGACATTCTTAAACAAAAGTGTTAAATTATATTAGGACTTGTTATTAAGGTAAGATGAGAAAGATTCTTTCTTTGTCGGTGTTTAGCAGGAGTTGAGAGAAATTTCTTTTGGGTCCAGATTGAATTTGGGCATTGCCAGAGGTCGAGAGATGATCCAGATCACCTTCCAGCATCCTACTCCTCATGACCACCTTGTTATCACAAGGGATGTCCAAGGAATTTGGGGAGCGGGGTTTCAGGAGAAAGCATATCTTCATATAAACCATACCCTTTTCTACTCTATATATTCCCTTGAGGTTTCAGTACCAATACAAAGAAATAATACTCTCACACTGAGCTCTTTTAAAGCACGTAGATTAGATTAATGCTAACTTTTGTCTCATTTGAGTAGGATTTTCACTGGAGTTCAGACTAAGCTACATGATAAAGTGATTGTTGTCAGGATAACTCAGTTCACACACACAGTTTTCATAGGAAAAGGACGTCCATTTTTCTTCTTGTTGCCAATTCAAAGAGCTGAAGTTAAGAGTTTTTGTTTTATAGTAAGAAAGGAGGTATCAAAATACTTTCATACTCAAAGACAGTAGTGAAAAACTTGTCTGTTAAAATGACTAGTGCAAGTGAATCTTTAAAGAATCTTCAGAGTCATAGTAAATTACCTTTTGGTTCTCATTATCTATTATTTTCTTTCTAAATTTCCTAATAATTACTTTGTGACCTGCCCACCCTTGGATTTTCTCTTTTTTAGTAAAATGGCAAAGCTGGAGGAACTTGAAGAAATTGACATCAGTGGGAATAAACTGAAGGCCGTCCCGACAACTATCATGAATTGCAGGCGCATGCACACGGCGATTGTTCACTCCAACTGCATCGAAGTCTTTCCTGAAGTTATGCAGCTCCCAGAAATCAAGGTACGTGGGTCGATTCCATCAGCTCCAAGCTTCAGGTCCACAAAGAGACTTGTTTTCTCTAGTTCATCAGTTCAGGATGTTCGCACCCTTGTTGGATTTCCTCAGAATGAAGACTTCTCTGTTGTCCTTGCTCCATCCTTCCTCAGCACTGGGCTACACCTCTGAGTCGGCAGAGGGGAAAAAAAAACAAACAAACAGTGGTCAAAAAACACTGGACTGGGAGTGGGGAAAATTGTATTCTGGGCTCTGTCCCTAACTAGCCACATAGCCACCTAACTCTTTTCATCTGTCTAACAATACTTGTCCTACTTATTTCCGCGGTGGTTATGAGACCAGAGACTGAATCAGGTTTGATAGCAGTTTGAAATAGTTAACAGTACCTCTGCACACCCCTCCCCACAACTCCCCTAATTAAATAGCATCCACCACCCCAGCACCCAATTAGTAATAATTCCCTATATAGATGTAGTCTCATTACCGTTACCATTACCAAACATTCACTTCAATTTAATGCAACCTGACAGAACAGATAATATTCCCATTTGGTAGGTGAGGAAACTGAGGTGCTGAAAAGAAAGTGGTTTCTATAAACTGAAGACAGCAAATTGGTGGCAGAGACATTCTGCAGTTCCTGGCTCCTGACTCAGGGCAGTCTCATCGGACAAAACCAGTTCACTAGAATGAAAACCATCTAACAACTTTTTATTCTTTTTTTTTTTTTTTTTTTTTTTTTTTGGAGCAAAGAGTAAGAAGTTCTTTCATTTTGCATTTTAGCATTTCTGATGATTAGTTTTGTGCTTAATAAAAAATAATTCTGGTTATAGACTAGGAGCATATTCTAATCTCCTAAAAAGGAACAAAAGTCATCCTATTCGAAGACACTTTGAATAGCATGAATAATTTTTCACCACAGGAGTTTTGTACATTTACATGGTTGAGGTGTGTAAGCCATTTGATAAGTGTGTGCATGTGTGTGTGTGCTTAAGCCATGAAATATTTTACTGTGAGCGCACTGTCACCTCATACATGACCGTGTCATTTTAGAATACTTACTGTTAACTAGCAGAAATATTTTATTTTTACTTTATATACCTTTTACAGTAGGTAAGAGGTGGGGCTCTGAAGGAAGACAGATCTAGAGGTGGATCCCAACTAAAAGCTGCTTAATTGCTCCGTTTCCTCATATGTAAAATGAGGGAAAGAACAGTGCTTCCTTTACAGTATTGCCGTGAGGATGAAATGAAATAATACATGTAAAGCATTTGAAATAGAAGTGGCACCTGGTAAGAGCTCTGTAAATGTTAACTATAATTAGTTACAAGACCTCGATGGGGTTCAACTCTGATGTGGATTATATGGAGCAACTGTTCTGGCTGATGATCCACAAAATCCAGGAAATCTGTCACTTAAGCAAATGCTTCTTTGCTTCCATCCCAGGAGCAGTGTTGACAGCTAAGCTTTCCAGGGGCTGCTCCACTGCCCATTACTCCATGGGGGGTGTGTTGTCTGTCACGGGGCCTTATTAACAGGTCTCTGTGCACCGAGGTCTCGAGATTAACCTCCTGTTTGCTGGTCTTACTTTCTGCGCCTGTCTTTTAATGTTATATAACTCTTAATCGTAGATTCTTTTTTTTTTAAGTATCTGGTTTAAAATACAGATACAGATAGACGTTTAAACTTTTCAAGTTTTGACTAAATTTTGCAAAATACGAATGTTGCTCTATGAAAGCAAATCTTCTCTTAGACCCTTGCTTGGATTCCTGGATTCTAAAATTGGTGCCCTCGTGTTTCCAGTTAATTCCTTCCCCTGTACCCTGCTTTACAGCTCCTTTTCAAATTTTACTTTTGGTATGACTTTTTTTTTTTTTTTTTTTTTTTACAGTTTTTCTTCTTTGATTTTTAACCCCAGATATTGTAGCTTAGCATTTTCCTTATGTTAAAAATGTCCAGTGTTTCTGACCCAGCTCTTCCATTACCAAGAGATATTTTGTTGCTGGGGTTTTATTTGGGGGGGGTGGGAGGGTGCGGTGAGCAGTATCAAGTCTCCTTTATGTACAAAGTACAAACTTTGCAGACCTGGACAGACGGTGGTATTGAAAAAGTAGTAGTTATATTGTTTGAGAACTCCGAACTGATATTTTAGTGTTATTTCATATGAGAATATTTTAAGTTGCTATATAAGTATTTGTGCAGATTTAAACCATCCAAGGGACTTCCCTGGCGGTCCAGTGGTTGAGACTTCGTGCTTGCAATGCGGGGGGCACGGGTTCGATCCCTGGCTGGGGAACTAAGATTCCACATGCCATGCAGTGTGGCCAAAAATAAATAAATAAACCATCCAAAAGAAAATTCCTGGTAAAAAATATTTGCTGTAAACAGATCATAAAATACCTATGAGAGTCTTCACTGCAAACTGAGCCCTAAAGCATGTTTCTAATGGAAAAGAAATCATTTTTTTCCTAAGTTGAAATACTCCAGCTGCTATTAAAATATTATCGAGTTAATAATCATAGATTGTATTCTTACTGCTTCTTGAAAATAAAGTACAATAATTGTAAAGTATTTCATAAAAGTTATGAAGATCATTGCAATTATAAACATTCACAGATAATTTAAAGAGGGATAAGATCCTGATATACTTAGCTAGTTCTCTGTGAGCAGTCTCATCTTTTCAGACATTAAAGAAAAGTGCTTGTTCACTGCTTTGTTACCAAAGCTTTAAAACCAATTATCATTTAAAGGGTAAACAAGTTTTATTACTAAAATATATATGCTAAAATATAGTTTTTTATTTTACTTTATTTATTATTATTTTTTAAATGTAGTTTTTTAAACCTGTAAAATCAGGCCATTATTCATGTACCCCTAAAACAGAGACTATATGCGTCCCCTATTCTTGGATAAAATTTAGGTCTGGCCTTTTCTCATTTTGGTGCATTTGGTGAGATCTGTTAAAGTGATCATCAGGCATCAAATTCTGTACTTGGGCAGGAAGGTCATATAAATTCGTAGGAAAAAAAGTATATTTTTTAGAGTTTTTCAATGAGCTCAAGTGCACCCAGAGTCACAGTCGTTTTGTTCCTTAGTATTGATATTATTGTCTTCACCTTTGTTTAGCACTTTCAAATTAGTCTTCCAAACCCCACCACCAGTCCTGTGTTCCTGGAGCAGGTCATGTTCTGTTCTGATTCTAAAATAGACAGACCTCCCTCTGGATACGGATCAGCTCTCAATCACCACATAAGCCAGACTTGGCTTGGCTGGTCCCAGGCTGAGGTCCTCACGTAGGCTGCTAGAGCTGATGGACCTGAAAAGCAGAGGTGGCCACGGGTGTGGCACTCGGCTTCTCTTCCTCAGGGGCCCTTCGCCGAGCCACATCGCAGTCACGTTGATCATGTAGGAGTTCTGCAACAACACCAAAGCTTTTAGTTGAGTTACTTCCAATTAGGGACATGGTCCTACCTTTTTTGAAGTGTGGTTTAAGCAGATGAAAGAAAAGTGTGACACATACAATGAAGGAAGTTTGAAATTTAAACACTGTATATCAGGAACTTTTGTCAAATTTTCCATTTCGCTGCGGTGTCCTGATTCTGATTACTGGGTGAACAGCATCTTTTAAAATGTTTTAAATTCTCTTCAGAAGGTGATTTTCATGTTTGTGCTATGCAGTAATAAACCACTTGGATAAGCTGAGTGACTTCGTCTTTAGGACTGTTATTTCACTTCATGGAGTATGAAGTATTTTTAATATGCCGCACTCTTGAGAACAATGGCTGCAGGAAGTTGAATTTCCCTTGGAATCAAGCCATGTTGTTGTTTCTAAAGTGAGATGAGAGCGAGAGAACCAGCTGAGTCATAGGACACAAAGAATATGGGGAAACGGCTAGGTCAGAATGGATGAAAGAAAAGGCATTAATTCTTTGGAAAGTAGGATAATGGAAATAAAGACAGATCAGGGGCCAGTTAGATGTCAGTTTGGTAGAGTAGTTGACCTACTAGACTTAAAAGGTCATGTAGGAACTGCAGTATCCAAAAACCAGGAAGCGGGAGCAATTGTCATTATGGTCCTGGAATCTGGGTAATGGTTATTTAGGAACTCTCCTATCATTTGGGGAATCTGGCATCCATTCCTGTTTGGGACAAGAGCTAAGGAAAAAGGAATGAAGCAGTGTCTACCAGGACATGGCCATTTAAGCCACTTTTCTCCCTGCCTCACTAGCAACTCACCAGCAGGAAGCTAGGACTGCATAGTCTCTGTCTTTCAAAGTTGGGATAATTTATTAACTCAGACTAATTTGTTTGTTTTTTTAACTCTAGTTTCAAAAAGTATTTCAGCAGCCCTTTTAAACACAAAACAATGCCTTTTACAATGAAATACTGCATGCATCTTACGAAGTGGGTTATGTGTACATACAGATAAAGAACTGGTCCTCTGTGAGCTCATGCATATTAAAAGTATCCCTTTAGAGATGCTCCTAGAGAAAGGAGCACTTGTGACCATGAGTCCTCAAAGAAGTTGGCTGTGAAGTGGTCACTATCCTGCTCTTCAAAGTCTTCTATTGGCAAGGAAAAACAGAAGTGAGCTCATATGCCCCCAAATCTGGAATACAGCCTGGAATCATCTATAAATTTCTTTGAAGTCTCCTTTTTGATCTAAAATTACATGCTAATTTTGTGTTCTAGTTTTTACCATTTCTTTTAGTTTTAATGTAAAAATAAAGGCTCTTCCTCTCCATAATCTTTGAGTAACACTGAAGCCCCCAGAAGCATGGGCCAGGTGTCCTGTAACTTTGTGATATACCACTGAGTCTCCCCAAGGGCACACATAACCAATTTTATGAGGTAATGAAATTTATGAGGTAAAGGGATTGCTTAGTTTATATAGGATGCATTTTCTTAAAGTCAGATTTTATAAATAATTTATTTTGGTGTTTAAGGAAATTCGCTATTTGGAGGAATGGAATGCTATTTGGTGGATCGAGGATTTGTTTAAAACAAAGTTTTACCCTGATTGTCATTTTTGTCAAGTAGTTGCCAATAAGGTTTCTAAAATCCAGTTGAGAAAAATCACAGATACTGTATATAAATTTAAAAGGAAGAGTCTGTACAAATTAAAGTTCTTCTTTTGCAACTTCCTGAAAGGTGGGGAGGTTTAAACAATACACATTCCTGAATAATTATAGACAAATACACTATTACATAGGAAAACCAAACTTCAACCTTGGCTTTAGGGTCTGTGTTTAAAGTAAAAGGTTCAGACTGGCTCTCTTAGTTAATAGGTTTACTTAGATGTGTGAACATCCTACAGTGATGATGACTTAGCCTTTTGCAACATCAAGAATATGTAGTAGTTTAAGTGTTAAAAGAGAATTTGACTTAAAGTTATATAATGAGAAATACTACACATGTGTGTACATGTATTTTACTCTAAAGCTAAAATGTTCGGGTTCCTGTAGAACTCTGAGAGAGGGAGGTGGTATAGACGACTTCAGCGTAAGACACAATCTGTAGTTCACCGTTTGGCCCCTACCTGCCTCTCCAGCCTCATCTTCTGCTCTCGGGCCCGACCATCTCCAACCACACCAACCACTCTTGCTTCGTGTCCTGGTATACCGTGCATCACTCTGTCTCCTGCCTGGTGCACGTGCTGCCAGTGCTTGCTAGATGCCCTCCTGTTCCCATCTGCCTCTTTATCTTTAATTTTGATTCTTCACAAAAATCCTCTCCTGGAAAGCCCTCTCTGTGGTCTCAGTAGCTGCCCCTTCACTGTCACAGCCGTGCACACTTGTACACGTCGTTGATCATAGCAGCTGGAGGTAGGTAGTGGTGTTAATTTCCCCCTTTAACCTGGGAGTTCCTCGGGGTGGGGACTGTGTCTGCCATCTCTCTCGAGGTCCCTGATGTCTGGCTTATTGTCTGCCATTTAGTAGATGCTAAATAAATGTTATTTTGATTGAGTACTTGGATGTATTTGCTTCTTTTGACTTCAAAATGGAAATTAGTGAACCTGTTCGGAGGGGGAACATGTTATACATCAGCAGCTTGCACCTTGTGAGGACTAGGGAGTGCAGAAGGTGAGTGGGAGCCCCGCCATTTGGAGCTGTCAGAGCTGTTGGGCAGCACAGTTGAGGTGGGGGACTAGCTGTGGTCTGAAGAAGGAAGAAGCAAGGGGGTTGCAGAACCTCAGAGCTCACCAGTTCTGTTAAGTTGCTGATTCGGGGCAGCCCAGGCAATTATTTGGCAGATAATAATACACTGCTGTGAACATTGATACGCTTATTTCTTTAGTAATGTTTTGTGAGGAATCATCATGATTAAGATATTGCAACTTTTGTGATAATTACACTTGAACTATATACATCACATTGTATTCCCTTTTCTTTAAGATACACTGATTATTTTCCTATCCTCATATCTAATTGTATTAGCAGTCATTTCCTCTAAATCATGAGTTCCTTCTCAATTATGAGTTATCTCACTTTTTCTGAGGGTTGGATAATTCTTTTTTGAGTATTCTTACCAGAGTTTTGTATTATAACAGAGTGATTTTTGTTAGTTATGTCCTAGAATGGGCCTGAAAGAGGGGATGATAATGTTTTAGATTCAATGTTCTATTTAACAATGTATTTCCAAGAAAATTTTAGTGCATTAAATATAAATACATACATTAAACAACATAGAATATGTGGGAACTATTTTTTTTCTCAGGTCTCACTTCCAAATTTTCTATTTTCTTAGTGGTCGCCGTTACAATTATTCAGTCAACAAGTGTTTGTTGAGGACTATTAAAAGAATAGGAAATAGTACTTGTAAGTAAAGCACTCACTGTCTGCGTTGACACCAGTAGATTGGCACCAAGTACCAGTGTCCTGTAATTTTTAGGAATAAACCTCCTTCAATGTGCAGAACTATATAAAGGTGTTTCTCTGCTTATCTGCCCTCAAAGGGTTTCCTTCTCATGCAGAAACAAAAGCATTTTAAAACGTATCAATTGCTTTTCAGTGCTACTTATTCTAGACTGAATTTAACCTAAACATGTGTATCTCAGTACCCATCCTAAGAGATTTAATTACTGAAGAACCTTCTTATAAGATCCATTCATTTATTCATTCAACAAATAATTGTTTACCAGGTGCCAGGCAATTGATTGATTATTTGTTCCTGCTTTCGGTGAAGGCATCTACCGAGCCTCTGTTCTTTGCAGTGCACTGCGCTTCGGATATAGGAGAGGCAGTCCCTTCTCTCTAGGAGCTCATGGTCTAGTGAAAGAAAGAAATAAGCAGATACTTATAACAAGGGACATCTAATTGAAACGGGGGCTGTAGTGGAATTGAGTGACATTGTAGTGGCGTTGAGTCTTAGTAAGGCAGATTACCAGGTAGAAGGCAAGGATAGCTTGAAGAGTTCCATTCACAGAGAATAGCATGTGCAAAGGCACAGACAAATGAGAACATGACACATGCAAGAGTTAACTTTGACGCAGCTGAATATAGAGTGTGAGGAAGCAGGTGGTGAAAGGTGGGGTGAAGGCCTTAGTTGATGTGCTGAGGACTTTGGTGGTAGATTGAAGGCTAGTAGGGAGCAAAAGAAAGACTGAAGCTGGAGTGTGATGTGATAGAACAAACCACATCAGAGAATCACCCTGACAGCATTGTGGGAATGCAGCAGAGGGAAGTGAGACTGAAAGCAAAGTTCGGACGCCATCGTAATCCTCCAGGGGAAACGTGATGTGGGTCAGAACAGGACTACGGGAACTGACTGCCGTGAATTAAAGACTTGGTGACGAAATGGGCCTTGGCGGGGGTAGTGCATAAGCACCATCTCATAAGATCTGTGTTACCATCACCAACATTATCTTTATAAATGAATACCCTATTGAACTCATTTTATAATTTGGTAATTTAAAGAATGAGCAATTTTACCTCTACAGAACTGTGAAAGTTTAAATCTTTAGAGGTAACGTTAAAAAACATTGCTCACCAATTTCAAAAAATTCAGTAATGTTCTAAAATGTCTTTACTCTTTCCTTATAATGCATGCTCTGACCTCTGAATTCGTTTGTGTCAAGCACCTACGTTCTGTGTTGCCCACACCTGTCAGGCCTTAAGCTCATGTTTCATCACCACCAGGAGATTGTATTGACACCATGTGTTGTTTTATCTGTACTGATGTATACTGACCATACTGCCAGAATAGCCCATTATGAACCAGTATTATCAGTGTGTCATTAAAGTCCAGTTGGCTGTTCATGCAGCCATTATTTATATTTGGAAAAACAAAAAAAGGAGATGACCATGTCCCTGTTATTAACATTTAGGTTAAGTGAATTCTTGTACTTCTGTTGAAAGTATTAAGACTATAAAAGGTGTTGGGAGTGAAGATATAGAATAAGTGAAATTGTACCTACATTTATGGGTTTTAAAAGTTTTTTATATTAATAATAAGGCTAAAAGAAACAAAAATAGAATTCTAACACTGGTTGTGTTCAGGTGTTAAATTTAACGGTAAGTTTTCTAATCTCTGTCCAACTTTTTATAATGTGGTTATAATGCTCTCATAATAAAAAAAAATTACAGTATATCATTGCTACTGTTTCAGAGCAAGGGTATGAAACAATTTGTGTGGAAACATTGTATTGTATGAATTCAACTGAGAATATATTTCTCCAAAAACAGAGGTTTTCATTTTACCCAGTCTCTACCCCTCCCCAATGCATAATAGATTTAAGTTCTTTAAAAAATTTTGCAGATAAAGATGAATTTGTCCACTTTTAACACTGAAATTCTTGGATACAATCTGCTTTCCAGTCCACCTTAAGATTTTTAATATGCTCTTTAGGCATTTTAAAATATTATAATAAGGTACCAGCTCAAGCCAGATAATTGAATGCTTTCTCCCCATTCTGCCAAATTGTTGGTTACACATTCTGTTATCAGAAAAATTGCCAACTGTTGTCTCTTGTGCATGTGATCCTTCTTCCACCCTGGTCCCCGCTCCCATAACAGAAATGCAGCACCTCCTTTTGGGACTTAGCTCATTTAAGCCTTAGATTTTGCAAGAAAGGTGGTGTTATTCCCATTCACAGATAACACATAATTCTTGTTCTAATCGGTATGCTGACCCTTTTTGTGGCAGTTTTCCAGGTGAGATTAGGCAGGGCTGTTGGTGAGTCCAGGTATTGGATGCCTGGAGTGCAGGATCTATATTTGACTCCCGCCTTTTTCCCGTGCATATAGTAGGCAGGCCCACCTGCTAGTCTTTCGCCACTTTCTTATTTAGCTTCTTTTGAATTATCTTCCCATTTTGAATATTCGTCCCCTGCCTTCTCCTCATTTTGCGTGTTTTTTGGTTTGTTTTAAAAACCAAAGACAAGCCCTTTAAAGTTCCATCTTGAAGTTGTAACTGTAACCCTCATGGCCACAGCAAGTGCGGAGATGTTGTGAACAATGTGAGTGAGACACGATCTTTAGGCTTTTTCAGTTAGTGCTTAATTTTTAAATGTAGAGATGAACTTAAAAGGATGAAGCTGGAGAGTATAAAGAACATGGAATTTGTGTTATTCAAAGAAAGTAAAATTTTAATTACATTTAGCAAAGTCTGTTTTAAACGTTTGTGGCAGAATAGCAGACAAACGTAGTTTCTGCATTTGGCCATCATAGTACAATGAACGGTCACACTGATTTTCCTGCAACGAGTAGGAGCATAGAACTACCTGAACAACTTCTCCAGGCCCATCTCCTCGTGTTTCCACTTGTTCCTTCAGTGCGTGGACCTGAGCTGTAATGAGCTAAGCGAAGTCACTTTACCAGAAAACCTGCCTCCAAAACTGCAAGAACTAGACCTGACTGGAAACCCCCGACTTGCCCTCGATCACAAAACCCTGGAGCTGCTGAAGTAAGTATTTTGTGAAGCGCTGCAGCCCCATCGCTATTCACTGAAAATGACATTTATCACTTAGTCAAAACATTAAATGGAATATGAAGCATCTGTTGACTTATTAGATCTATCTACACACATTTGAAGTGAAGTGATTTGTGAGTCTGTAGTTCACCAAAATGGACGAATGGCCAAAAAACTTTTCAAGTAATTGGATACTCGTGTCCTTTCAGAAAGTTTTTGAGAAGGTGTCCAGGCAAAAAGAGATGAGAATAATGAAAACAAAGAGGAAAAGGGAATTTAAAGACACAGGAGAGAGCAGTGAACAACCAAGAAGTAAATGTACATCTCGGTTACGAATAATATGGTGTGTGATGCTTAATGCAAATGTTACAAAGGGATCTTGCAAGAGATTCATAATGTGGGATAAATGAACAATTTGGAACTAAAATTCAGGTTATTTAAACAAAACTGGGAGAGTGGGGTAGTTAGATCCTGCTAAGTTGTCTTCCTGTTTTGGGAAGAGAGTTCATTGGTACTGTCTCATGTTTTCTGTTGATGGAGAATAACAGGTTGGATGGAGTTCACTATGTAAAACATTAAAGTTAACCTTGTTAGAAAAGATGTCTTTATGACAATGTTCATCACAGAACTCTAAATATCAATAAAATTAACTTATGCTTCACATAATGAATATTATAATGAATATTATACAACTACTAAAAACAATGATGTGGAGTTATATTACTAACTTGAAAGATCTCTGCATATGACGTTAGGTGAAAAGAAAGTTTACAAGGAAATTTGTATAGTGTAATCCCACCTTTTGTAACATAAATTTGTGTGCATTTGGGTATGTGTGCGTGTGTGTGTGTGCACATGCACAACTAGAAAATTCCTAAAAGGATATAAAACAAAATGTTAAAATGATGCTGTTCTCTGGATAATATAATTATGGATGGTCTTTACTTTCTTCTTTAAATTTTTCTGAATTTTCAGAATTTTTTGCAGTGTATCTCAAAGTAACAGTCCTAGACATCGACACACATTAGACACTGTGTATGCCATCTGTGCTTAAAGCCTGTTGTAACATCTGTTGCTGAAAGTCATCTTCCAATATCTTAGAAAAAACTGAAAAGGAGAAGAATTTTGGAAAGAGTAATGTTGGTGGTCCATTATTATTATCCTAGGCTTTAGTACATATCAAAATTTGAAAATCACCTAAGGCGATTCCTGGTTGGACTTGGCCTAATTAGTGCCTGTTCGTTGACATTTTAAGTACTTAATGAGAAAATTGATTTAGTTGAAGAATATTGCCTAAGTACAGTGTCCTCGGGAAGCCACGGGGACCTAGGCTCTCTCCACTGTGTATCAGTATGTGAAGCCTTGGCCCAAATCCCTCAGTGTGTCCAGACCTTAGTTTTCTCATCTCTTAGGGATGATGGCCTACACACTCTCTAAGGGACTTCCAGAACTAAGAATACATGGATTAGCAAAACATATTTCATCTTTATAACAGGTAACTTTTTGAGTTTTTACAAATATGACATAATTTTATGATAAAAATGATTATTAAAAAATCTGTTAATAAATGGAAGTAGCTGTTTGGAGAAAAAATAAAAGTTCAATTTTTATTGCACACCAAAATAAATTCCAGCTAAATTAAAGAGTTAAATACATAAAATGAAATAATTTTTAAAAGTAAGAAGAAATCATATGGATATATTGACAAACCAGAAAAGGACTTTTTAGGCCAGAGAAAGGGGTGGGGGAAATCACAAAAGAACTCAATATGTATAGAGTGGTTTTGATATTTATGTTATGTATATTTTTATATAAAAATACTTTTTTACATAAAAGTTTTAGATATCTATTCCAAAAGCTATCAAAGGTAAATCTAAAAGGCAAATGACAAACTGAGAAGAAACGCTGGCAAAAAATAAGAAAAATAAAAGCATTAATATTCTTAATAGAAAATGTTCTTATGAGTCAGTAGTGATAAGTACTCACTCAAGCAGAAAGTAAGTGAAGCACATTAACAGTTAATAAACAAAGTATGGATAGTTACATGAAAAGATCATATTCAGCCTTATTAGTGTATCAAGGAAATATTAAATAAAATATCTAAATGATAACATTTCCCCCCCCCTCAAATTGGTGTTGATGGAGGGTTGTAAATTGATACAACTTTTTAAAAAGGTTTTTGGCCCTGTGTATCAAGCTTTTAAAAGTATTCATATACTTAGACCAAGGTTTTCTGTGGTAAAAATTTATTCTAAGAATTAATCAGAGATACGGTATTTATTTTAGGTACAGAGATAGTCATCAAGATATTTCTAATTAAATTTAGGATGAATATAAAATGACATGGGGAAATGTTCATGATGTAATTAGAAAAAAGATGCAAAACCATATATATAATAGAATGACCCCATTATTATATAGGCATAAGACAGTATCTCTTAAAATTCTCTACCAAAGGACATATGTTACTAGAGTGGCCAGAGCTGCTACAGTGAAGGACGTGTGTGTTCTCAGATTAAAAAAAAAAATTAGTAACAGACAGTGAAATCATAACTCTTAGGTAAAAACGTTACCCTCTATTTAATATCTAGAAGGTTGTGGCTTCTTAATAACCTGGGAGCGTTTCCATATCTAATACATTACTTGCTCTTTTAGAGGGTTGGCCTATTTGTTCTACATGAGGCAGGGTTAGTCCGTATGGCGACTCTTCCGTGTGACTGAGCTCCGGCTCCCAGATTCCCTCAGACTAATTTCAAGATGTACGAGAGTCAACATCCAGGTCACTTCAGACAGCTGCTCAGTCACACTGTGTTCAGCTTGGCGGAAATGAGAGATTGCTGCTTCACTAGAAAGGATTATGGGGGAGTTTAAGGATTACTTTTTTCTTTAATAATCAGGTTAGGAGGGCTTCCCTGGTGGCGCAGTGGTTGAGAGTCCGCCTGCCGATGCCTGCCGTGCCCCGGTCCGGGAAGATCCCACATGCCGCGGAGCGGCTGGGCCCGTGAGCCATGGCCGCTGGGCCTGCGGGTCCGGAGCCTGTGCTCCGCAGCGGGAGGAATAATCTTAGTAGACCTTGGATGATTATAATTGTTTTTCCCTTATGATTTTGGGTGCTTTCTTGTGCTCCTGGAAAAAAAAAAAAAAAGGCTAGGAAATGGAATTATTTCTTTGAAGGCTCCCTGTTCTGTAAAAAGTATAAATGTCTTTAGAAAGGAGTCTTCCGTTTCTCTCCAGAACTCAGAAAGGTAGGAAAAATGTAGGGAGAACCTTAAGGTATGTCTTAAGAAACCCATTGCATTGCTTACCATTGTATGTGGATAAAATTTGGTACCAGGTCATATGGAAAGCAAACAACAGCAGACTATCTTTTTAAATACACCTTTTATTGATGGGTTTGAAAGGAGGATATATCTGTAAAATGAGGTATTTGATTTTGAGATTTTCTGTTGACACTACCTATGATTTTTATGTTTTTCAGCTTTTTTAGGATAAAGCAAAAGGTGAATGTTTTCTGGTAATTAAGAGTAGAAACTTTTCTTTAATGAAATATTTTTAAATTTCAAAGAAATTGCCACCAAATATTTCTAGAATCAAAGTGAATATTATTAGACATTGATTTGCTTCTCAGTTGAATGGTTCTTAGGAAAGGTATTCAGTATTATATTTTGGAGTTAATGAATGCCAACAAATAATTTAAATTCTTGGGCTCAGGACAAAATTGTTTAGGTGTTAAGAGATTATACATAATTCTGTTTCTCTTGTTTAAGTAACGGGGAAAAAACTAGTGGCAATTTACAAATAGGGATTTATCTCACCATGTGGTAGGCGGCCTTTTAAAAACCTGCTTCACATCTGTATGACTTCCTGTTTGTGAGCACTGAACGCTTTCTAGTAGGCTGGTTTTTAATGAACTGCATTTGAAGGTTTACTCTTTTAATATTTCTGTTTTGGGTCCTTTTGGACCAGTTATAGCATATGAGAGCCGAGGTGAGATAAGAATTTGTCTCCCAGTTCATTTATATGTAGTTAATGTGTAATTTATTGAATGCCCCTCATTTACTTCATAATTTTATATTGGTCTCAGCATGGCTGTGCAGGTGAGGAAAGAATTGGAAGCTTCAGGGGATAGCAAGTCCCCAGTAATATTTGTGAAATATTTGAAGGGGTGATGTGGGCAGTTACTGGATTTGAGGATGAGTGTTGCAGAATTCTCTCACATGATCCAAACACAGTACAGTCGTGGCTTGGGTTTCATTCTTTTCAAATCTGGGCTTCATGTTGTGAGAATACACCCAACTTAATAGTTAAAGTTTCTTTTCTCATGCCAAGGTTGAGAGCTGTCCCCTTCATCCCCAGGAGAGAGTAGCCACCTAGGGGTGGGGTGTGTGTGTGTGTGTGTGTGTGTGTGTGTGTGTGTGAGAGTGAAAGTGCCTAATAACCGACATTTGATGCTGATAAAACTAATTTTCATGCTCTGTATATATGCCCCTTTGTTTTCATTATGACGAGTAGCTAGTTCTTGTTGCTGATAAATATTTCAGACACATTAAACACAAATGGTAAGTACAGAGTGCTTAGGTGTTCTTCATTTCTCAGGTAAAAGTAGCAATTTGCACATGTTCTGTTTTAATGATTCCTGGCCCCTCTGTTTCTCTGGTTAGTAATATCCGCTGTTTCAAGATTGATCAGCCTTCGGGAGGCGATGCATCTGGAGCCCCAGCTGTATGGAGCCATGGCTACACAGAAGCTTCAGGGGTGAAAAACAAGTAAGTGGGGTGAAACTTTGGAGTGAGAACCGCCACCTGCCCGCCCGCCCGCCCGCCTGCGTCCCTGCTTTAGTGGAGTAGAAGCCCAGTGCTAGCACACACTTTCCCCGTGTCACATTTATTTCAGTATGTTTCCCCAGAGTGAGGACACCTCATGACTTAGGCTGGAACATTAGGCTAAGTAAGCCCTGCTTGGCACCACATACTCTCTCTTTGTGAGGATGTTGCTAGGATACGGTAAAACTGACACATTATATCTATGTGAGACTCCAGTGTTTGGAGAAGGCGTAAGTATTGAAATGCATCCCTGCTCTTTTGAAAAGCCCCTTTATCTTTCTCTGAGGCCTGTTTACCAAGCAAAACAGGGATAGTATTAAAGGAGTAGAAGTAGGCTTGATTGTCCATATTCGAGATCCCTTATGTTATTGACAGTCACTGTTTCTGTGGAGCTGTTTTTTACAGTCTAAATGAGCTTGTCAGGAATTGGATGTCCATTCCCTGTAATGTCAGCTGCTTGTCTTGCCATCAGGTCTTGTGCATCTTAATTTCTTTTTCTTCCCTATTTTCACCAACCTTCCCTGTCTCTGATGCAGATGTTGATTTCTTGAGAATTGTAATCCAGCTCTTCAGGCTTGCTTGCTTTTTATGAAGGGGTGCTGATAATCAGTACTAGGAAAGCAAAGGATCCTATCAATTAGAATGGTCATAATTTAATTAGCTAAGGTATAAGAACACAAAATATTGAGAGCAGGGGAAGAACAGGAAGTGGAGGATGACCCCATAATAGCTAACAGCATTCAACCCTGGGTGCACATTAGAATCAGTCAGGTGAGGAACTTTAAAGAACGTTTTCCAGCCTAGGCCCATTAAATCAGAATGCTTTAAAATCTCCCCCAGGTGATTCTAATGTGCATCCAGGATTGAGAACCACCGACTAGCTTGAATACCCTTCATGGAAAATAAAAGGTGGAATTGTGGTTGCCATGCTGACTGCTTTTCCTTGGGTCAGAAAACAGAATGAACTCGCATTGTGCGTCTGATGCATTGATCCTGTCCTCTTTCCC